TATTATATGTTGAAGTGGGTTGACCTCGTTGTCGCAACTTGATCTTGTTGTCAGGACGACTTAGTAGAACGCACCTAGTCCGAAGACGTCTGCCATAGTAGTTGTCATGATTCCTAGCATCATACAGTGGACTTGATACATTCTCAGACTTTTTGCCGGCAGCATCAGTGAATGCTGCCATTCTTTGGACCAAGCAGTCAAAGAGACAAATGAACATGACAAAAGTTCTGCCAAAAAAGGTTGCACCATCACTCCTCTTTCTGTCCTGGCCTATCTATCTACTCTTTATCCTCTAATCCAACTCCCGCCCAATCACAACTTCTCACTTGTTTACATGCATTGGAAGAAAAGTTGGGTTTCGAGGAAGCTCTTGTTTCATAATTGTTGAGCTCACTTCCATTTCGAGTGAAAGTGTTGCGTGAAGAGATTCGAAGGAGAATGGTAAAACTCACTGACGATGCCGATTACGATGCCGGCGAAACGTCTGGGAATGTACCACGTTCAGGGTCCAACTTTGGACTCCGGGCAACGTACGTTCCTCTAAGTCTTCCTACCAACATAACCAAGTTGCGAAAACAAGGTCAAACAAGTACAATACAGGATTATGCTCAGTGTCATGAAATCAGTGCTGGTAACAAATGGAAGAGTGCAGAATAAAATAATTATCGCCTTGACCTTAGTGAAAATATTGTCATTTCAACGATAAATTAGATCTTGAAAGGTGCAGGGAACTGGAGTAATCTTTGCATGTCTTTTTCAGCTATCCAGCCTTCATCAGAGTGAACAGAATTTGCGAGTATATGAGTAGTATGGACGCCAATACTTGCCAAGGTTATGCCATAAACTGCCTTGGCACAGTCGTCTTCATTTTGAGCAATCCGGTTTCCCTTCTTCACCAAAGTGTTTCTATCTGTAGAGGTCGCCCCAAACACATCGTCCTAAAGGTGACGACGGCAACGCCGATGGCGTTACCTCCAATCGAGTACCATTCTTGCCTGAAACCGCTCATCGTCGCCAGTGAAGCAAGCTCCATTCCGAAGCAATTTCAGCCCTAAAAAAGTTCGGAAACGACTTGATCACACTCGAATTTCAGTTCAGATGTCTTTCAATAGTTCATGATCAGCCATTCTGCCTGAAATTAGTGGAAAAGTTTAAACAGTATATTTTGTTGAACGCCTTCTCGGCAGTCGGGTTTAGGAGCCGCAGAGAAAATGTCTGTTCGAGGCCCTACGAGGAGACTGGTATAAGCGTGAAATAGAGCTTAGAGGCCTATTTTAGGACTATGTGTAGGTCTAAAGATGCCAACTATCAGTCCTTGCATCACTTCAAGTAAGCGGCCTAAACAACCAAGTGTTCACTCAATAATTACTCATAACATCGAGGCCTACTTATATAGAAAATAAGTAACCCCATTATTGCAAAATATTCGATAATCCCACCTTGGCACGTGACTTGGTATCACATCTACTCGTGACCCAGTCTAGTTGTAGTGTAGCCACGAGACTCACTATCTGGCTCCAAATACCGTTTGTGGTTCTGATTAGCCCAAGGCGAGGTAAAAATTACAGTCCATTTTGTTGAGAATACTTTTTGGAAAAGCAAGGCTCCGTGTAATTCCATTGTGGGAAAAGTCACCTTAAACGAAATGGGATGAATACACGTAAAACCTTAGGTTGTAGATAGGAAGACCAAGATGGTGTGATCTTGCGCTTGGCCGCAGTCTCCTTCAGCTGTATAGGCTCGGTTCTACCTCGTTTTCGCAACTTGATGGGAGCCTAAGAGAGACCTTGTGGAAAGTATCTAGTCCTTCCCCTTCTGTCCTCGACTATTCTTGATGATTTTCAGCATCAGACCGTAGACTGGGTACATTCCCAGACGTTTGACTGGCATCTTCTGTGAGAGGCGCCATCATTGGCGCAGAACTACAACTCACCACTTGTCACTTTTATAAGATGTAACGGTACTATTCTGGCAAAATGTCTGGTAATGTACCAAGTCCAAAGTTCGATGCTGTAACTCACCATTAATACTATGGAGAAGGAACTAGGACTAGGTACCTCCCACAAGGTCTCCCCACCGCGAAAATGAGGTCAA